ATGCTCATGCAGCATAGAAAGGTGACTGCTTATGCGTCATGACAGTTGAAAGTACATGAGAGAAACTATCCTACGCACGACTTGGAGTTAGCAGCAGTGATTCTCGCTCTTAAGATTTGGCGACATTATTTGTATGAAGAGTCATATGAGATTTACACTGACTATAAGAGTTTGAAATATATTTTCACACAGAAGGAGCTAAATTTGAGGCAAAGAAAATGGCTTAAGTTGCTAAAAGATTATGATGTGAATATTTTATATCATCAAAGGAAGGCAAATGTTGTGATAACCCTATCTTGTGTTATGTTAATTAATCTTAATTATGATTGAGATTATGTGCTTGATACAACTTTGAGTGCCATTTATATGATTATATGTGTTTTTAAATTTCTATCTGTTCACCGTAGGAAAATCTGTTTGATTTTCTGCTATATAAATTTAATCAAGGCCATAGAGGCGACATAGAGGCGACAGAAATTGAAATTAACTGTATTTTTGTGGTCAACATGATTTTTAGAGCCTATGGTGAGATTTCATTAAATATTGATTTAGATCAAAATAATTAGCTTAAATCGATTAAATTATGTGCAATTGGTTAACTTTAATTGAGATGGATTAGTTTAAGCTAATCACTTAGTATATATATGGTTAAATACACTTAGGCTCCTCATTTTGACCCCCAAAATCTGAAGATACACTTTAGAGGGAGAGAGGGAGCCGAATTAAAGATAGAGAGGGAGTTTAACCTTGGAGATTTGAACTATGAGCTTGGGAATTTGGAAGCTAGGCTCAAGAATTAGCCATAATTGAAAAGATTTGAGCCCTAGGTAAGTAATTGAACTCAAAACCATGGGTGTAAATCTATAGTTGAGTGAATTCAAAGATATTATGAAGAATTTGAGGTCCATATGTTCATGCATGTATTGAATTGCCATGAATTTCCACAAGATTGCATAATCTAGAATGAGGCATATTAAACATGAAAGCTTGTGCACCTAAGTCTACATGCATGCATAATTTTAATGAGCTTCATGATTTTGAGCATCATTTGTACCATTTGAAATGGAATTAGAGTCAATGAGTTACATGCATGCATGATTCATGGAGGCATGTAACTTGATTGCATAACTTGATTGCATGGGTTTTGAAGAACTTGAGATAAATTGGGAAATTTGGGAGATGTACCATGATTTTGGGTCAATTGGTTTCAAATTATCTAAGTTTTCATGTTACACAATGTTTTTCTATGTTTTGACATTGATTTGCAAATTTTGGAGCCATTAGGGTTATGTTTTGAAGCTCAAATAGAATTCTGGAAAACCTAGAATTCGACTTGTTCGCTCGAGCGAGGAAAGTCTTGCTCGAGCGTGAAAAGTAAGCTCCCAGAAGTTTTGCAGAAATTGCACTGTGGCTCGAGCGGTAGACTTTATGCTCGAGCGAACCCTGTTTTGCCAAGACTCCTTACTCGAGCGTCGAGAATCTCGCTCGAGCGTAAATTACATGTAATCAGTACTTTTGCAGACCAAAGCGGTCTGCTCGAGCAACCAAGGCTGTGCTCGAGCGGAGAGCCCTGTTTCAGAAATTTTGAAAAGTGATTTTGTGTTTTGTTTTCCGTTCTCTTTCATTGCTAAGCACTCTTAGGCATACATTGAGCATTGTAAATGGAATAAGAAGATAAGAAAGAGGCCTAAGAGGAATATATAAATTAAGAATGAATTGAATCGCTTGTGACCCATTATGTTCATGAAATGTGTAGCGTCAAGCGCAAGGGCAAATCATCTAGTAGATCACTGTGAGTAATGTCTTAGTAAAGATATGTTCAAGTACGTTATTTTACAAACGTTACTTCTGTATGAGTCTTATGGATTTGTATGTTGAATTATGGATGAATATTCTAAATGACAGTCTTTTGCATAAGACTAATTGAATACAAATATGATCATGATCATGGGTATAAGACACACATGAACACGTATGTGAAAATGAAATGGGCCTAAGGCCGTTTGATATGATGGATGGGCCCGAGGCCGTTTGATATAATGGATGGGCCCGAGGCTATTTGATGAGAAATGAATTGGGCCTAAGGCCGTATGAATAATATAATGGGCCAAAGGTCGTTTGAATATTATGATGGGCCGAAGGCCGTTTGACATGAATGATTGGGCCGAAGGCCGTTTGACACAAACAAATTGAGCTCAAGGCTGTTTGATATGTTTGGGCTCGAGGCCGTTCAATGTATTAGATAGAAACATAAATGGGCCTATGGCCATTTGATATGTTTGTTACAAGTTTCATTCATGTAACTCCTTTATTTTGATATTATTCATTGGGCTATCGATCACTCTCATTTACATGTGTGTAGGTGAGCAAAAGATGTCCAAACCCAGCCCCAGTGAAAGATATGAGAGGAAGTTAAGTTGTGAAGCTAGCCCGAATGTCTCACGCATGAGACCTTGTTTTCTTTTGTCCTTTTGTTCACTATTTCGTTGCCTTGGTGAATATGTTGGATCACCATGTACATAAGCTTTTTGCTTGGCTGATTACATGTTTGAAGTTCCTGGACATATAAGATGTTATTTCTGTCTACATGTGTGAGTTATTATGGATTGTTCATGGAATATTTTGCCTTATCATGTAAGCATAGCTCATTGGAAAAAAAATTTAAGTCTGCTTCCGTTTTGGCCCCTTATTCTATTAAAAATAAGTTTAATCAGGTTTGAGGCCGTAGGTGATCTGTTGATTACTGGCCGGTTATGACCTTAATCCATAGGGGCGGGTTTGGGTCATGAAAAATGTGGGGGTAGATGCCTTGAGTAAGAAGGTCATAGTTGGAGATGTAATGGTTTTGTCTGTTAAGAGTTGTTTAGTGGAAGACATGAGACGTTTAAGGCTTGAGGTTGCTATGCCTGGTGATAGGGCATATTGTAGTCAATTGACAAATCAGCCGACCTTGAGAGGATGGATTTGTTTAGCTTAGGAGATTGACTCTCAGTGTGAGCGTATTAAAGGAGAGATAGCAGAGGGTAAGCATGCAGACTTTGTAGTTAGTGATGATGGGTTGCTTAGATTCCATAGCCGAGTTTGTGTTCCTGATGCTGGCGATTTGAGGAAGTAGATTATGATAAAGGCACATAGTTCTAGTTGTAACATTCATCTTGGAAGGACTAAGATGTATCGGGATCTTCGTGAACATTTTTGGTGGAATGGTATGAAAAGAGATATTACAGAACTTATGGCTCAATGTTTGGTGTGCCAACAGGTTAAAGTAGAACATCAGAAACCTGCAGGGAAACTACAACCCTTACCTATACCAGAGTGGAAGTGGGATTATATTACCATGGACTTCATGTGCGGATTACCTCTTACTAGTAGTAATCATGATGCAGTTTGGGTAGTTATTGATAGATTAACCAAGTCAGCAAATTTTATTGCAGTACGGATGAACTATTCTCTAGCTCGATTTGCACAGTTGTATGTGAAGGAGATTGTTAGATTGCATGATACACCTATGTCAATAGTGTCAGATCGAGACCCTCGTTTTGTGTCTAAGTTTTGAGGTGCGTTACAATCAGCTATGGGTACTCGGTTAAATTTTAGTTCAGCTTATCACCCTCAGACAGATGGGCAACCGGAGAGGACTATTCAAACCCTTGATGATATGCTGAGGGCTTGTGCTTTGGAGTGGATAAGTAATTGAGATGATTATTTGCTGCTCATGGAGTTTGTGTATAATCATAGATATCATTCTAGTTTGGGAGTAGCTCCTTATGAGGCTTTGTATGGGAGGAAGTGTAGGTCTCCTTTGTGCTGGTATGAGATTGGTGAGAGGCAAATGTTGGGACCTGATTTGGTGGAGGATGCTACACAGAAAATTATCAGCATCAGAGAGAGATTATTGACTACTCAGATTATACAAAAAAGTTATGCCGATCTGTGAGAACTCGAATATACAAATCAAATAAATAGTTAAGTAATAATTATTTTACAATCTCAAATATTTTGCTTTTGAATCTTTAAGTGCAATTTAAATATTATTGGAGGGTTTTTTTTAATTAATTTTAAAACCTAAAATAAATTTATGGTGAAAGTCTTTAATTTAGAGGCAAGATTTATTATTAAGGAAAAAATAAAAAAATAGAGAAGAGGGTGTGACTTGAACTCTAGACCACAATTCGATAAATAATGATCTTACCATTTAAGTTGCTTACAACATATTTAAACATTTTGTATATTATTTATTTATTTGACCTACACATACTTTGGGTATGCCCAACCCCTAGTATTAAATAAAATATATACAAAACCCTACCTTCCTACACAAAACCCTACTTTTTTATTTGTTCATCACAAGTTAGCAGCAGCCATGAGGGAGAAAAATGGAGAGAGAGATAGAGAGAGAAGAGATTTGGGAGAAACTTTTAGCAATATTCACTACAACATTTGGCGACTAAATTTTTAGTTGCCAAAAGTCATTTTTTTAGTCGCCGAAGATTATTGCCAACTAATTTGTTTGGTTGCCAGCTTTGTTGCTAGATGATTGTCAGGAAAGATATTGGCAACTAATTTTTTTTTAGTCGCTGAAAGTCATCAATTGGCGACAAAAAATTTAGTCACCCAAAAGAAAATATTTAGTCGCCAAAAAGAAATATTTTCTATCTTCAGTTTTTTAGCTACCAATTTTTTAGTCGCTAAAAACGTGACACTCCTTTTTGGCTATCAATTTTTTAATCGCTAAAAATGTGACACTCCTTTTTGGCTACCAATTTTTTAGTTGCCAAAAACTTTCAATTTTTTTTTTGGCTACTAAATGTTTAGTCCTCAAAAGCACAAGCTCTATTAATTAATTTTTTTTAAAATTCACAAATTGAATATTTTTCATTAATTTCTAAATTATATGCATTTCATTATCAATGCGACCTGTAATCTGTACGTATACAGAATAATATATTTATCAATTATAATCTAAATCCATTATCAATAATACCCATTTCATTATCAACTATTCAAAAACTTTAACTTGTAACATCATATTCCAAATATCATATAAATCCATACAAACCAAGTATAATCCATCTAAATTAAATATTACATACAAAAACACTAGATTTCCAAAACAAAGGATTGTTCCAAAATAAATGTCTTCTATACAAATGCTCTTCGTACACATCCACAACAGCCCACACAAAAGTCATCTGTAAAAAATAAATAAATAAATAAATAAATAAAATTAACTATTAACACTTATTCAATAATATTGACGTTTCAAATTATAACAATTATAAAATTAATAATTTAGATATATTATACTCAGTCAATTTTCACTATCATACCCATTCTCATCAAAACAAATGTCATAAACAGATCAGAATTGCAAATTTACTCTCAGTAATAAACACAAACCTGATCCAACTTTGAACATGTAAGGAACATTGATGGCCCCAACAGGGATGACAAGTTACAAACCAGCTATTGGATTTATGTGACTTCTAGCTCTTATCATTTTTTTGCATTGCATTTACAATATAATGTCAAACAACGTGAGCATAGAAATGAGGCAAGCACAAGAAACTGGGCCCTTCAACACAACATAAATTTCCATGAAATTTTTCCAACAAAATCACCAGTAAAAAAATTATTCCCACATATTTTCTGAAATTTCACCAAACTATCATGTTTTTGCGTACTTTGCTATAATGCTTTGTTGTTCTGCCTAACAAATGACATTATAATCAATACATCATCGATTTTCCTATTCTTTTGAGATTATACTGTGCAATCCATATAGACAAACAATTATATAATGTGTATCTTCAGTAGACTAACCGAATGGAAAAGATCACACTGCATTCAGACTGAATATTATCACAAAGAACTACAAATAGAATTACTTGTTACAGATAATACTAGTTATGTGTTTTATAGAGAGGGGAAAACAACTACTCTGGAAACAAACAAGGGTTAAGAGGCCTTTACTAATAAGAACATACTTTCAAGATCTTGAATAAGAGACCTCAATTGTCTGTACTCCTGGTCTTGGCGCTTCCTTTTTTCTGAAATAGTAACAGGGTCTTAGTTGTAGAATGCTGGATAAGTAGTGGATTTCTCTTCACTAATAAAAGGAATCAACATTTGAAATCTAAAATCAAAGAAAAGATTGAATTACTCTTCACTAATAAAAGGAATCAACATTTGAAATCTAAAATCAAAGAAATGATTGAATGGGTCTGTATCAGCTACTTCTACCATTATTCAAAATAAAAAGTGGCAAAAAATTGCAAAGAGAGAAAAAAAGAAGAAGAAGAGAGGTTCAGTAATAAACAGATGTCATAAACAGATAGAATTGCAAATTTGCTCAGTAATAAACACAAACCTGATCCAACTTTGAACATGTAAGGAACATTGATGGCCCTAACAGCATGCCCTGCACTAAACTCCTCAGCAGTCATACACACAGTCACACCCACCAACAAAAGAACAGTTAGCACACCACAGTAACATTCACGGATTCACCATCGTTACCCAATCAAATCAATTTTTCAATTCAGAAATTTTTTAACAACTCTACAAAAAAATAAAAAATAAATAAAAAAAAAATACACCCAATGAATCACATATCCAAATACTGGTGTCCAGCCTGAAGGAGCTCGTGGGCTACTCAAACCAGGACCAATGTTGGAACAGCTGCCGATTCCACATTCCCTCCTACCGTAGCCATCCAACTGTTAATTAAATTCCGAAATAACAACAAAACACAGCTAATTGTTTTGTAAGCACCCAAAATTTTCAAAAGCATTCGTGATTGAGGAATTTAATCAAACACTTAACAGGCACTTAACACTCCTGTAGTGTCCCAGAATTTGGAGTAGAAAATTTCAACAATATCCAAATAGGTTAGAGGTCAAATCAAACGGTTTGCAAGCATATGCATGACAGGGAAAATCGAAGAAAATAAAGAAAATTGATGTATTCAAACATATAGCTAGAAACTGCTTAATATTTCCTCCACATGCCAAATCTTGAAGAAACCCCAAAGCTTGGTTAACCTCAGCACCAATTGACTTGGCAATGTTGACAAGTAATTCATCAGGTAGAACAAGATGAGGGGGTTTAGATTGAGGCCTGTTACCAAACTATACAAAGCATTCAAAGAATTCATAGATTACAAAGTTTTACTTAACCTAGAGTTCAGAACACAGAACAAAATCATCATAATCAATCGAAAGGTTCACGCATAGACATAATGTATGTACACACAGAGAGAAGGTGGATTAAGCGTGTCCCACCTGAATGAGGTGTTGGAATTGGGGGAGGTCTTCGGCAAGTTATGGATCGGTCCCGATTGAATGCCCATCGCGCCGCCATAGCTAACCCTTTTGGCACAGTCCGTAATGATTCGAACGTAGAAGTCTCTGGCTTTGCCCAAAGCCCTAACTGGTATCGTAATGAATCGCATGAACCTGTTTTGGTTGCTTGCTTTGGTTCTCATACTTGAGAATTTTGATGGGAAATTAGCTTCTCAATGTGGATGTATGTATGTGTAGATGTGAACACAGAAGATCGTAGAAGTAGATAGATTCAAAGATGTGATTTGAAATGAGGTGTTTGGGAGAGAAAAGGTGGGTTTGGTTTGGACTGGGTAGAGAAAGACAGATGAGAGAGAAGAGTGAGATATTTTTGTAGAGATCGTTATTGGCGACTAAAATTGTTTAGTCGTTGAAAGTATTTTATAAATCCCTCCAATCTATTTGAAATGTCTCACTTCATAAATTTTATTTCTTTAGTCACTAAAATTCTTTTTTATCCTTGAAAATAAACTTTGGCGACCAAAAGTTTAATCGCCAAAGGTAAAAAATAATTTTTTATTTTTCATTCGGCGAATAAACGGTTTTAGTAGCCAAAACTCAATATACGGCAACTAAATTTCTTTTTTGTCGCCAATTCTGGTATTTTTAGCGACTAAATTTTTTTTTAGTCGCTAATAACCAATATACCCCGACTAAAAAAAAATAGTAGCTAAATATTTTACTTTTGCCAACTAAAAAAAATTTTAGTCGCCAATTTCACAACTTTTGGCGACTAAATTTTGTTTAGTCGCCAATTTTAGTTGTCGAAGGTGCATAGTGATTGGCGGTCAACAACTCTAAGGTGTTGTCCTATTTTATTATATCTATATATTGTGATGGTTCATGTGTGTAATCTGCTTGTTGTTAGGAAGGAATAAGAGGAACGAGTGTGTAGATGGAGAAAATATTTGATGTTCTAGGTTGTTTAGCAGACCAAAAGGTGGCCTTTGCAGTTTTTAGGTTCAAGGGTCAAGCAGAGCATAGGTGGCGCATGGTGAAGCGTCAATATGAGGGTAGAGAAATAGAGCTAGTGTGGAGTAAGTTTCTGGAACTGTTTAATGAGAAATACTTCCCTGAAGCGGTGCGAAGGTAGAAGCAAGTGGATTTTCTCAATCTGAAGCAAAATGACATGATAGTGGCTCAGTATGAAGCCAAGTTTGTGGAGTTGTCAAGGTATGCCCACATCAAATGGCCATAGAGGAAAATAGAGTGATGTTGTTTGAGAATGGCTTGCTGTCAGAGATCTATGCAAAAGTAGCTATTTTGGAGATGAAGACATATTCCGCATTGGTAAGCAAGACATTACTAGCTGAAAAGGGAGCATAAGAGGAAAAGAAAATTGAGGAACAAATGGCCAAGGAACCACAAAACAAGAGGCTTAGGGAGAAGAGACAACTAGAGCAACGTAGTGGTGGTAACAATCCTAGCAAGAAGCCTTACACCCCAAGTCAGGTTAGCAATTGCATGAGGCAGCAGAATTGGATGTGATAGGTCACATTCTATTGGGTGTAATTGTGATGGCACAGCTCGAATGTACTACAAGTGTGGCAAGCCTGGGCATCTCTTTGTACAGTGTAGGTCCAAGGAAATGGGAGGTCAGTCAGTAGCACAGTCATTTCAGGGGCAATAGCAGAGACAAACTTTTTATAGTAGTGGGTTTAACCAGAAACAGAATAATAGCAAAAGTGGGACTACCCAAGGTTTGACATTCGGGAATGGGACTCAGGAAAAGAAGTCAGCGGCTACTCAATGAGGTGTTTATGCCCTCACTAGAGAGGAGGCTGAGGCTGCTCCATCTGTGGTACAAGGTACACTTCTTATATCATCTGTACCTGCCAAAGTTTTATTTGATTCATGAACTACACATTCTTTTGTTGCACCTAAGTTTTTACGTTGTTTGTCTATTTCTTTTGAGCCTTTTGATGAATGTATTACTGTGTCTACTCCATTAGGAGAAATAATAGTGTTAGGGGATGTTTGTAGATCTTGTGAGATAGAGATGGATGGTAGAATTTTTCTAGTGGATTTGATTTCTTTAGAGATAAAGGATTTTGACGTGATTTTGGGAATGGATTGGTTGACGAAGCATCATGCTTTTGTTGATTGTTTTAGAAAGAGGGTAGTCTTTGCTATGCTAGGGCAACATGAGTTTTTCTTTCAGGGAGTTAGAAAAGGGTCTTTTATCTATTTTATTTTTTCCCTTCAGGCTAACCGAATGTTGAGAAAAGGGTGTCATGGTTATTTAGCTTGTGTGGTGAGTACCGAACAACTAGAGCAGAAGTTAGAGGAGTTGCCTGTAGTGAGGGAATTTGTTGATGTTTTTCCAGTGGATCTACCTAATCTTCCTTCAAATCGTGAGGTAGAATTTCCCATTGACTTGGTCTCCAATACAACACTTATCTCTAAAGCACCCTATAGAATGGCACCGTTGGAGTTGAGGGAGTTACAAACTCAGTTATAGAGTTGTTAGACAAAGGTTTTATTGGGCCTAGCGTCTCACCTTTGGGAGCACCTGTGTTGTTTGTGAAGAAGAATGATGGGTCGATGAGATTGTGTATTGATTATAGGGAATTGAACAAAGTCACAATGAAGAATAAGTATCCTTTGCCACACATTGATGACCTATTTGACCAATTGCATTGAGCTCAGGTATTCTCTAAGATTGACTTGAGATCAAGCTATCACCAGTTGAAGGTAAAAAATGAGGATGTTCCTAAGATAGCTTTTAGAACCCGTTATGGGATGAGTTCTTGGTAATGCCTTTTGGTCTCACAAATGCATCAGCCGTATTCATGGATTTGATGAACAGAGTATTTAAACCCCATGTGGATAAATTTGTGGTAGTATTTATTGATGACATCATAATTTTTTTTGAGGAGTAAGGAGGAGCATGAACAATATTTAAGGGTAGTACTACAGATCCTTAGGGAGAAGAAACTGTATGCAAAATTTAAGAAGTGTGAATTTTAGTTGAGCAGTGTATCTTTTTTAGGTTATGTGGTGAGTAAAGATGGGGTATTTGTAGATACCACGAAGGTGGCAGCAATGGTTGATTGGACACGACCTACTTTTGTGACAGAGGTACGCAGCTTTCTAGGGCTTGCTAGATATTACAGACGGTTTGTGGAAGGATTCTCCCGTATTGCTTTGCCACTTGGCAATCTCACCAGGAAAGGGGTAAAGTTTGAGTGGAATGATGATTGTGAGCGTAGCTTCCAAGAGTTTAAACAGAGATTGACATCAGCTCCAATATTTGCCTTACCGGCAAATGGGGGTGGTTTTGTGATTTGTAGTGATGCTTTACAACAGGGTTTAGGATGTGTGTTCATGCAGCATGGGAAGGTGATTGCTTATGCGTCACGACAGTTGAAAGTACATGAGAGAAATTATCCTATGCATGACTTGGAGTTAGCAACAGTGATTTTCGCTCTTAAGATCTGGCGACATTATTTGTATGGAGAGTCATGTGAGATTTACATTGATCATAAGAGTTTGAAGTATATTTTCACACAGAAGGAACTAAATTTGAGGCAAAAAATATGGCTTGAGTTGCTAAAAGATTATGATGTGAATATTTTGTATCATCCGGGAAAGGCAAATGTGGTGGCAGATGCCTTGAGTAGGAAGGTCGAAGTTGGAGATGTAGCTGCTTTGTCTATTAAGAGTTGTTTGGTGGAAGACATGAGACGTTTGAGGCTTCGGTATTACGCCGATGATAGGGCTTATTATAGTCAATTGACAGTTCAGCTGACCTTGAAAAAATGGATTTGTTTAGCTCAGGAGATTGACTCCCTGCGTGAGCGTATTAAAGGAGAGATGGTAGAGGGTAAGCATGTAGACTTTGTGATTAGGGATAATGGGTTGCTTAGATTCCGTAGCCAAATTTGTGTTCCTGCTGGTGGTGATTTGAGGAAGGAGATTATGATGGAGGCACATAGTTTTAGTTACAGCATTCATCCTGGAAGCACTAAGATGTATCGAGATCTTCATGAACATTTTTGGTGGAATGGTATGAAGGGTGATATTGCAGAATTTGTTGCTCAGTGTTTGGTGTGTCAACAGGTTAAAGTAGAAAATCAGAAACCCGCGGGGAACCTACAACCCTTACCTATACCAAGGTGGAAGTGGGATCATGTTACCATGGACTTCGTGTGCGGATTACCTCGTACTAGTAGTAATCACGATGCAGTTTGGGTAGTTGTTGATAGATTAACCAAGTCAACACATTTTATTGCAGTACAGATGAACTATTCTCTAGCTCAATTTGCACAGTTGTATGTGAAGGAGATTATTAGATTGCATGGTGCACCTATGTCAATAGTGTCAGATTGGGACCCTCGTTTTGTGTCTAAGTTTTGGGGTGCATTACAATCAACTATGGGTACTTGGTTAAATTTTATTTCAGCTTATCACACTCAGATAGATAGGCAATTGAAGAGTACTATTCAAACCCTTGATGATATGTTTAGGGCTTGTGCTTTGGAGTGGAGAGGTAATTTGGATGATTATTTGCCACTCATAGAGTTTGTGTATAATAATAGTTATCATTCTAGTTTGAGAGTAGCTCCTTATGAGGCTTTGTATGGGAAGAAGTGTAGGTCTCCTTTGTGTTGGGATGAGGTTGGTGAAAGGCAAATGTTGGGACCTGATTTGGTGGAGGATGCTATACAGAAAATTATCACTATCAGAGAGAGATTATTGACTGCTTAGAGTAGACAAAAAAGTTATGCTGATCATCGTAGAAGAGATTTGGAGTTTCATGTGAGGGATATGGTATTCTTGAAAGTATCACCATGGAAAGGAGTCATCAGGTTTGGAAAGAAAGGAAAGTTGAGTCCTAGATACATTGGTCCATTTGAGGTATTGGAGAAGGTTGGTGAGGTTGCGTACCGTGTTGCTCTACCCCCTAGATTGGCAAGAGTGCATAATGTGTTTCACATGTCTA